ATATGTATATGTTTGTATAGTGTTTGTGTGTGTGTGTGTGGTGTGTGTGTGTGAACCAGCCACACCTAAATTTTAAGAAAACTATGCTTTCTAGTGTTTATATTGTTTTAAAGTATAGTTCCTTTAAATGATTGGGGTGGCCTGTGGGGTGGCCGAAGATTAATTTATGGTGGTCAAGGCCACCACTGGCTACCCTCTGGCTCTGCCATTGCACCTAGTGTTGGATAAAATCCTATCTCTCTTGTTATACACAATGTAAGACCGACCCACCTAAATATCTTGCAACAAAAACATTAAGGTTTACTTGTTTTCCTTGTTCAATTTCCAGTACTGAAAAATACTCTAAATACTGTATATCTCAAAAACTAAAAATATGCACCCCTTAAATCCTTCAGTGATGGTGGACACTGGCATACTTCTCGTCAGTCTTGTTTACTGTTGACAGAATTAGAAACATGGTTTGTATTTCGAGAAACAGTGTGAAAAGCTCAACCAAAGTCATTCCTGCACTTGATATATAATTTTTTTAAATGTCACTTCAGATGAGCGGCTATGGTGATAAAAGTACAATTTGATTTTAAAAAAATTATAACACTAAGATGTATAAACAGACAGAGATTACTTCAAGTTCAAATACAGGAAGAGAGAGGCAGCCTTCGGTTTGGATAATTTTATTAGACAAAAAGTGATGAAGGAAGAATGAAGTTTAAAAAAATGCACATCAGAAAAGGCTGGTGGGTTTTTTGGGCTGGGTCATATTTTCTTTGCTCTCTCTTTCTTTGCGGTTCTTTTGCACCGACCATAATTTGACCTTGTCTTGGTCCAATCTTTCAGAAATGGCAAGAATTTTCTCCTCACCTCCTGCATGAATTCTCTCCGAACATGCCAACTACAATACCCAACAACGGTTTTGTCAAAGTTAACTGGAACAGTTTTAATATTCCTCAATATTGTGTTGAATGTTACTGTCATCAAACTGCAGTTTTTATCAGTGTGTGCAGCAGTCATTTTGGGACAAGGCTTTTCCAAATTACTCAAGCTGATAAAACAGTGAAAACCAGCTGTGTGTGTGTTGGGGTGGGGGGCGTGTACATGTGTGCGTGTAGACAGGCTCTTTGGCTTTATTCCATTTTAAACGGAAATTCTGCATGGC